ATAATTCTAGGAATATTAGATGCTGTCATGTTGAAAATTATCTTGCTATTCTTACTTCAGATTTCTTTCTGAATACCTCAACTTTTTCCTTCTTTGCCATCAAATAATTGGAACACAAGGTACCTAAACGCTTACTGAAATTACACAACTGAAAAAGATGCATGAAATACCACACAAGGGCATTTCTAGCCTGTCTGCTGTGAACTATAATCATTCCTTTGCATTACCTCAATATTTCTCTGAACTTTTGCATCAATCTAATATATTAAAGTTATGAATTTCTTACCCGCATAGGTTGTTTGGGGATGAGAGCAGGAACACACACACTTGGATCTTCTACTTATCTGCTGTTGTTTTCCAGAGAGAAAAAAAATCCCTATCTTGACAATGTTATTGGAGAACTTTTATGATCTACAACCAGGTTACTGATGTAGATTTGGAAACACATGCTCCAACAGGATATTTTATATCTATTGATTTTGCTTATTACATTGAGACAACATATTAGTATCAAACCAAACTAGTTTTGGGGAACATAAAATAGTTAATCTATCATCTTGGCTGGAAGACGTTTGAGGACGATAGGGGAAAATAGGTTTACCATAAAGACCAGAGCCATATCTTGTGGGAGGATGTGTGACATACCTGCTGCACCAGGCCTAGAAATTGAGCTGAGCCTTCTTCATCAAGTATAATTAACATGCTATGGCCTGAACTTTGAACAAGGTTCAAATTTAGATATTAAGGAGCCTTAAACCCATTCTTAAGAAAAACTATGTATTGTATATGACATATAACAGAGTATGTTAGTAACTCAGTTAATGAGGCAATGCAGTCAATGCTAGGAAGAGGACTGGGAGTCCAAAGAACAGGATCGGAGCTTTGTCACTAACCTGCAGCATCATTTTAGGCAACCTTCTACATGGTTTTCTTTCTGCCCTTTATCTGGTATGTTCAGGTTGTGAGCTCTCTCTTATTGTGCATTTGTATAACATCTAGGACAGTAATGGTAAAATTTTACAGGGCTTGCCTACACTAGGGCAGCAGCTGTTCTGGCCAGATTGGGCCCACCCATCCATACCTGTAGGCACGCATCAAGTCAGAAGTTTGCTGGTGACACTACTTGAAGGCATCCCTCAAAGCCTATTCTCCAGTTCTTGATCTTTGGTGTCCTTGACAGTGACTGCTCTGGACAATCCTGGATCAGTTTCACGTGCATATTTCTCGATTTGGAATGTGCCGTCAGCCATGAATGGGCAGCATATTGAATGGTGTAGACAAGCCCTTAACAGTCTCAATTTATTAATTTGTGAAAATCTGTTTTCATCTTTTGCTTGCTTGCTCTTTCTAAACTTAGTTTGTAGCCTTCTTGTTTGGGGAAAATGCTTAAAAGTGTGATCTAGGAAGGCTCAGGAACCAAAGGACAAATACTAGCAACACAAAATTCATTATTTTTAATGCTTTTTTGCATCCTAACAAGTGAACTTTCAAGACCTGGAGTTGGCAATGCAGCAAAAGGTGTTGGGATGGGGCTCAAGATGCTGCCATAAACCAAACCATTTCAAAAGCAGCAAAAGCAGAAATTCAGGATGTTCCACTTTGTGTAATCATTGCAACAGGAGTCTATGCTTTTGAGGATTTTATAATCATATTTTATTGCATAAGAGCTTCATTGTAAATAGCCAACTAAAAAACCTTCCATGACAACATTGTAAGGAAGTCATTACACAAAAATGTTCACCACAGAAAACAGAGTTTAAATGGTCAAAAAGTGTTACATTACAGATACTAAAGTGTATGTAAAAATCCATTCTTCTGCTATGATGTCAGAAGTACATCATCATTATTACTGGAAGTAACTGTTTTTTAAGAGAAGAGACATCAAAACAGACATCACAAGGTCAGATTTTTGTTGGGGAGAGAGACAGGGTGATGTGAAAAGCAAGACTGGCAGGGAGGTTTGTACCTTTCTTGGCTCCTCTATTTCCAGCCTATGTTTACCCACAAGCATAATATTACTACCGTTTTAAGCACAGACTGGGAAAGTTGTTAGAACCAGTCAACATCACTCAGATAACCAGAATACCTGATTTAGACTAAATCAAGCAGCTGTCTCTTCTAAGCATGGGGAACAATGTTAGTGGCAGTACTTCAGCCTACATCTGAAGAGTGACCTGGTATCTTCAGAATGAATGGATTTGACAGAACTTTGCTTATAGACTTACTGGGCCAGAGAAAAACACTGTTTTAAAGAAGACTGTGTTTGTATAGAATTTTTCTCTCTTTTACACAAAGATCTAAGTTATAACAAAATTGTACAGGTATTTCATCTGAAGTACAATTTTTTAAAGCATAAATGGGGGCACTTCCCAGTCTCTTACACCCAACAACGACGACAAAAAAGGGTTATATAGTGGTGATTTTCAGCATATTATTATAGTATAATACAAAAATCTGACCTTGTTTTGATGTGTCTTCTCTTAAAAAAGACCAGTTACTTCCAGTAATATAGTAGAATGACGACTCTAGTGAATTTTAAGGGAACTGTTGGTGAAGAAATATGCTAAAGGCTTTACTAACTTACATGACTGAGTTAATTCCCATGAAATCCCTGTTTAGGCATGTAAATTTTGTGCAGTTTTGTTGTTGCAAATAAATTAAATGCATTTTCAAATGTGGATACTGTGGTGTGTTTGAATTCTACCTGAAGAGGAAATGAAAAGGCTGGTCTGGGGATAGATTTCATACATTAAGCAATCAAGAGGCTCACTGAATGAAAGACGAAGTCCATCCTACATCTTAAATAACTACCAAGTTTAAATAGACTGTTAATAGTGCAGTGCAATAACAAATATTTTGCTTGCCTGAAGATATATGGATCAACCACTGTTACCATCAATAATCATTTAAATACAACTGCAGCAGACATTAAGAAACAAACTGAATAATGATTTCTTGGTAAAATCCAACTTACGATCATGTAGCTTATCTTTTGTAAAGAAAGAGTAAAGTATAGATTTAACACATTGCAAGAGGTTACCAGACTATGAAAGTACTAGTACCAATTGTGCTTTTTAACAGGTTACATTGTTTTTCAGTTTGTGTTACACTGAGATTTGATATATATAGTCAGCCTTGTCCTGTCAAAACATGTTAAGCAGAAAAATCAGCACTCTCAAAGATGCCTAACATTTTTGTGTACATTCAAAAAGCTACAGTATCAAGTTAATTCTGCTAAGTAGACTATGCTAGTTCATTGCCTGATATATTAGGATTTCTCTAGCTTTCAACCCAAAAAGCTTGAGGAAGACAAAAACTTTTGGTTCTACTCAAGTGTTATTGCCACAGATGTAATTTTAGCTGAAGTGACCTAGCACCACCTTATATCCTTGATCCATACACATAATTCTCCTTGAAAGTGATGCAAATTGTGGCCAAACAGTCTGCACTTGCTTATTTTGTTTACAAAAATCCCCAACATACTACACAGAGCAAGCACAACACTTTTCTTCAGCCACGTCTAGACTGCCAGCTTAATAGACCTGGCAGTGGCACCCTTAAAACACACTGTGTTGCTCTGAAAGGGCTGCTTCCTGAATCAGAAGCAGTGTAATTGCAACTTTGTCTCATGAGCACTGTCAAGGCAAAGCAAACTTACCATGCCAAGCAGCAGAGCTTTCAAACACGCTCCATATGGGCTGCTGCTTGAACCAGCAGTATTGTGGCTATATTCACATGGCATTGAAGAAAAGCTAAACAGCACAGCTGCATGACACTGCTATGCTAACGAGCATGCTCACAGCATGGTGGAAACAGGGCTACACTTTCTCAGTTCAGGAGTCAGCTTATTTGAATACACCACTGCTTAGAGCAGTAAGTTTGCTGTGCAGATGTGACCTCTCAGCCATTTAAAACTTGCTATGTTGTAAGTCCAGAAGTAACTACATGGAAATTACACGATTGTGATACAATTACATGGTTGCACGACGAGGTTAGGTAAGACTAGACTCTGGCCAAACTTACAGACCACAACATGAGACCCTCATATTAGGACTAGTATCATATAAAATGTAGCCCCACTGACTTCAGTAATAATTACTATGAAGTGAGGTGCTATTCATTAAAAGGATGGAGTTTCATTTTGGAACTTGTTGCTAACTGCGAAACATTACAAGAAACCATAATACCACAACTAGGTGGATGGACAAATTGGAATCAAATGTAGCAGAAATGTAGTGCTTTCGTTTAGGCAAATGTCCCAAGCCACAGAAAACCCTACAGAGGGAGTGCTGCACCTTTTGCATGTCACAAAGTACAGTTCTTCAGGAGTGGCTTTCTGCTTTAAATGTGTAGTATACAGGAAAATACTCTGTTGGCTATTTGCTCTTTTCTCTCCTTATCCTACAACAGTGTAGCAAGCCCTGTTATATAGAAAACTACTGCAGGAAAGGAATGAAGATTCTGTCCCTTAACTTTGCCAGCGTTGGATAGGACAAACTTTGTTAGGTGCCTGCGGGACAAAGCTCTTCCAAATCAGCCTTGCTTCTGTGGCATGGGGTCTGCCTTGAATTTATTACAGAGAGTAGTTTTGTATTTTCAATAGATAATCCCTGGTAGAAAGGTTTGAAACGAGATAAGCATGTGTTTGCCTTAATTCTATTCATTTTGGGACTTCTGGCTAACTTAAAAAAACATTACAAGGAACCATAATACCTTGTGGATGGACAAATTGGAACCAAATGTAGCAGAAATGGATTGCTTTACTTTAGGCCAGTGTCCTTGGGATGCTTGCCAAAGGGACCCATAGGAAAACAGCATGTAGAACACAGTGCAATATCAATTTTCTGCAGCATTTTAAAAAGCAACACCTTTTCCCCCACAATATTTTCAGTGTGATTTGTGTTTTTCCATCTCTACACTTTACTAGCTGTAAATGCCCTTTAATGGCACTTTTACAAGTGCTCTAGGGGTGGGGGAGCCAGCGCTTTAATTAGAACCACTCCAAGAATTAAAATGGCAGTGGGGGTACTTGAACTAAAGCTCATTTGAGCAGCCTCTGTGCTCGTGCATAGGTGCGCTCTAACTATAAGACAAATAGGCTTAGACTGCATTGAATATCAAATTGTAGGCATCTCTTTGAAAAGCAAAGAACATAATTCACTCACTTATTTTTATTAGTCATGCAACTAGTGCTATGTGTTAAAATAACTTGCTGAATCAGGGCATAACAGATCTCTGTTTCATTCAGTTCTTCTTAAACATTAGCAGGGGCCATTCAACAAGTCTAGTTGTTTTTACCCTTCTATGCATGTGCACCAAAATGACAATTTCAAGAGCTTCAATTAAACAGGTATAATCCCTGATACAAGACAATTAAATATACTAATTTTAAACATTAAAAAATATATTGAATCAATTTGCTGCATTAACTGCAGTTAGAGCTTTGGCTTGAAGGCACAAATATTAAGGCACAATAAATGCAAATAATGTATACATTTCAATGTGCTGTGCTGAAGATAACTTTCTATTACAAAATATTTGCTTATGACTAGTCTTTCAAATGTTTCAAGTTATTTTAATACTTTTCTCTTTGATTACCTGGATAAAGTGGAATGCAAGTTAATTATTTAAATATTTGTGTAGTGCAAATACGCAAAATGTAACCATTTTCATTTCTAATCCAGTAAATTAACGTTGCTTCTTTTGCATTTTGATCTTAGGAAAGAAAAATGGCAATTTTTACATTCATTTTTGGACAATGTATGCACATTGTTACATTTAATTAACAAATTAATTTAACATGCCAATACATGGATATTTATTTCCTCTATTAAATGTACTTTTGGCTTTTTCAGTTCTTGTTTTTGCCTATTCACACAGCTGTGTAAAAATATGAAGTAAGAATATATATGTATATATAAAATGCTGCCTTAGACAACTGAGTTATAGATTATCAAAACTGCTGTAGGAAAGTTAACATTCTAATGCAAACTCAACAATGTTTTTGCTTGTTTCCAAAAGATATAAGGGAACTCCAGGTTCTTAAAAACCTCCAGAAAGCACCCTAGTTTTGTTAAGTGTCCTGCACCTAAGAAAAGTCTCTAGATTAACTTTCAAAGAGGATCTGTGTCTGTAACTCCTTTAGAAACAGAAATTTAAAAAAAGAGAAAGTTATTGCACTGAAATTAACATAACCAGGACATGATATATTTTCTCACTAATAAATGGTATAGATGTCCAGTGCAAGAAACCAACCTCCTTTAAGCACCAGTCACCTAGGGTTTACTTGTTTCAGATTTATAGTTTCAGGATTGCAAATATATAGAAAATAACTGTGTTTAATTGGGATCACAGTGCAGTCTCAGAAATGATGAATCCTGAGGAAGAATCTGGTGAAGAGTCCGCAACAACTTGACCATTTTGAATCACTTCTGGGTAATTCTTGCTGAAGTAGACCTAGGGATGCAAAATTATATGAGAGTCAGTAATTAAACTCACCATTACACATCATTTAGTTTCAAAAGACAGTTACAGAGATTAATGTAATGTAAGTATAGAAATTAAATTTCCTTAAGGAAACTGAACAAGAACTTTAGTTTAGCAGAATTCAATAAATAACTCTATTAATTGACGAATTAGTAAAATTACTACCTGGTCTTACAATCACTGCAGCAAAGAGTGAATGAATCCTCACATGACCTGTAGATCCACTCAAGTTCCAATAAATCAGATCCATAGATATATTTTATCACTTTACATTACACTGATAAGTAAAATCATTTTACTGGCTCAAAACATGGAGATAAATTAAAAACAGTGTGACAAAGAAGCTGTGAAATCTTGCGTCTGCACAAGGGTTTCTCATTTTCACACATAAAATGAACACAATGGATTTGGATGTTAATATCAGGTTGTAATCCCTATATTTTACAAACTATGATTGACAACCATTGAAAGTTCGCAGTATATGTATGAAATATCCCAGCGTTTAATTTGTGCTGCAGAGCAGTTATAGGGCCTATAGAAATGTGATCTCTGGATAGTGCACCACAATAATGAAAGGAGAAGCAAAAGCTTTAACAATGACTCAACCAAGCAACTTCTCTAAAATGTAAGATGATACCAAATAATAGGACAGTTCTTTGCCAGGCCTTTGAGTTCTTGAATTCTACCAATTTCTAGCTGAACTAGAAGAGATACAGGTTTCCTGATAAATGTATAATCAGAACATAAAGGAAATGAAATGCTGTCAAGTTTCAGTGTTCCACAATCATCACTTTTTAGTAGCTGTATCATATCTCTGTTCCTTGACAGATGCGCATAACAAAATGAAATAATGTCAAGACTTGTGTGCTCTTATCTAAAAATGTGTTTGGGTGAAAAAGGACTTCAAATGTAATTTTTTAAAAGAAGAATGTGAAAAGTTTTGTTTGAGTCTTTAAAAACAGAAAATACACTATCTTTCCAAGGCTGACATATGTCATGACTTAGGGCTTATACTCACACTGTTCTGAATACGGCTTATGAAACATTTGGGGGCACTGTCAACAAAGTTAGGTTTGTTTGATAATAATGTTCTTTTCATATATGAATAAATGTATAAGACATGCAGTACAAAAAAGAAATGGTTATATTATATAAGAACTCCTATAAGTATCACAGTCTTCCTTTGTGCATACACGTTGACATAGTGTCTATGTAGTTTCACAATTTTCAGGGAATATTAAGGTTATGATTTGAATCAAGAACAGGACTCAAAGTCCTGTTGCAAAGGATTCTCCAGTAACCAGCCACGACAGGGAGCAACAGAGGAAAGTTAATTTGGTGCCTGGCTGCATATAACATTACTAAGACTCCAATCTTCACTGTATATTTCCATCCTTTTACTAGTTTAAGACACAACTTTAACATACTTTGACTGAAGCTTTTAAAAGTGAATTTTCTACAAGAAAGTTAATAGAAAATTGTACCATAGTACCACAGATATAATGAAACAGCACAAACTTTTCAACCATCTCAATGCAAATATATAGGACTCTTTTCAATGGACCTGATTCTGCAAAATATTGAATTCCCACAACTTAAGAAGGAATGGTACATGGCACTTCATAGAAGACTAGTCCTATAATATGATTCTTCCCCTACCAAAAGAGCTGTAACTTCATAACAACTTCAAAAGGGTAAATGCTATCCACATGCAATAATTGATTGATAATTGATATTTTAAAAATTATATCTCTGTCATTGGAAAAACCAACCAGCCCCCTTCCCTCACCCCCAACTTTTCTCCCCTGTCTCCAAAAGCCATTAAAACAGCAAGGGTTTCATAGTTTCATAGTAGCTAGAGTCAGGAGGGACCTGAACAGATCATCTAGCCTGACCCCCTGCCACAGGCAGGAATGAATGCTGGGTTCACAAGACCCCAGACAGGTGATCGTCCAGCCTCCTCTTGAATTTGCCCAAGGTAGGGGTGAGGACCACTTCTCTGGGAAGTTGGTTCCAGATTTTGGCCACCCTAACTGTAAAATATTGCCTTCTGATCTCTAACCTAAACCTATTCTCCATCAGCTTAGTACCACTGTTCCTCGTCACCCCAGGTGGTGCTGAGGAGAAAAGGGCTCTACCTATTTGCTGTTGATCTCCCCTGATGAGTTTGTAGGCAGCCACCAGGTCCCCCCCTCAGCCTCCTGTTGTTGAGGCTGAACAGGTTCAGGTCCCTCAGTCTCTCCTCGTAGGGCCTGTCCTGCTGCCCTCTTACCAAGTGGGTGGCCCTCCTCTGAACCCTCTCTAGGCTGGCCACATCCCTTTTGAAGTGCAGCACCCAGTACTGGACGCGGTACTCCAACTGCCTGACCAAAGTCGCATAGAGAGGGAGTAGCACCTCTCTGGACCGGCTTGAGATGCACCTTTGGATGCATGACAAGGTATGGCTGGCCTTGCTGGCTGCGGTCTGGCATTGGCGGCTCATGTTCATCTTGGAGTCAATAATGACTCCAAGATCCCGTTCTGCCTCTGTGCTTTCAAGAAGGGAACTCCCCAGCCTGTATGTATGCTGTGGATTCCTTCTCCCGAGATGCAGCACCCTGCATTTGTCTACGTTGAACTCCATCCTATTCTCGTCTGCCCAGTTTTGTAGTCTGCCTAAATCTATTTGCAGCCCCTCTCTCCCTTCAAGTGTGTCCACCTCGCCCCACATCTTAGTGTCATCAGCAAACTTGGACAGCGTGCTTTCCACCCCCTCGTCCAATTTGGGCAATTTGCAGCTATACAACCTGTCCACCACTACTCTCTGGGTGTGCCCCATCAGCCAATTTTTTACCCATCCAACTGTGTAGGCATCAATGCCACAGTCGCTTAATTTATTGATGAGGATGGGGTGAGAGACAGTGTCAAAGGCCTTCTTAAAGTCTAGAAAGACTACGTCCACGGCGGCACCATCATCCAGGTATTTAGTTACTTGGTCATAAAAGGCAATCAGGTTGGTCAGGCAGAACCTGCCTTTGATGAACCTATGCTGATTGCCCCTGAGCATGATCACCCCTGCAGGCCCCCCACAGATGTGCTCCTTGATGATTCCCTCCAAGATCTTCCCAAGCACCAAGGTGAGGCTTACAGGCCATTCAGTAGAGACAGGAGAAGGATCCAAATGGTGAATTTGCTTATCTAGATAACTGAAGACACTAATGATTCTTTCTCACTTCCTTAGAATTATCTTTTTAATAGCTTCTTGTAAAATTGAACAGTGACCAAATCTTCACATTGGGCTCAGCCATGCAGAGAAGTTTGTCAGCATTGAGTATTACTATATAGCTTTCAGACTCATAAGCTACTCAGCATGTGCTTAGCAGGGTAAATTTAGAGCTGCATTATACTGTACTGCAATCTGGACTCCAACTCAGACAACATAGAGACCTATGAAACTTGTAACAAGCAGTGTCACCCTTGAATTGGGCTCATCAGCCATAAACAGATTCATCAGACATCTGACTAGACCTCTTAGGTGTACACCATGATCCAGAGAATCGGCAGTTGCATACTGTGCTATACGCGGGATACTGAATGACTAAAATGGTTGTAGGAGTGTGCAGAGTTGAAGGAATTTAGAAGCCCAGGCCAAGATTTGAAAAAGTATCTAGAGAACACAAATGCCTGAATCCTTGGATACTTAACATGGAACATCTGTAAAGTGACATTTTCTAAAAATCAGGCCCCTTTGTTTTATGTTTTAAGTTAGGCACCCAGCATTTAGGGCACACACTTCCAAGTCACCTGAGATAATACTGGTTCTGGTTACAAAGATTTACCTTCTCTTTATTTAAGTTAGATTTGCAACAACCATAATGCTTTATAGAATTTACTTTGTCTCAACTTATAGATAATTATTCTCTGTATGTTGAATTATTTTCTGTATGCTCAATTTAGGCAACCTTGATGCACAACTTAGAAAAGGATGTTGTTGGCAAGCCTGGTTGCATTCTGAACCACTCTGGTTAGTAAACATACTGGGTATGGCTTTTGAAAATGTGCTCATATCTGACAATCTGATTATCACCATTTATTATTATTATTTTTTTCAGTTAGATGCGGGAGTGGCGAGAGACGCACAGGTGAAAGCCCGCTGCGCCCCCGCTCCCCCGAAGCCCCCCAGAAACCCTCCAGCAGCCGCGGAGCCCCCTGCCGACCCCCAGCACAGCCAGAGGTAAGCGGGGCCCGTGGAGAGAGGGGGG